TAATAATAATAATAATAATAATAATAATAATAAAAGGAAAAGAGAAGAGAAAAAAAAAGAAGAATGAATAAAAAGGTGGGGGATAGGGGTCTAGTAGAAGAAGAGAAAAAAAGGAGGGAGGTTGGTGGGGGCGGGGTGCTGGAAGATGGATAAAAAGAAAAAAATGAGGAAGAAGAAGAAGACGAAGAAGAAAGGTTAAACGGGGTGGGGGGTCAGGGGTGGGTGGGTAAAGAGGAGATAAGAAAAACGGTAGAAGGAAAAGAAAAGAAAAAAGCAGAGGTTGGAGATGGGTGGGGAAGATGAAACAAAGAAAAAATGGGGTTAAAATGGAGTAGAATTCAAAGTGCGAATACCATTTTTGAAATTTACCCACTCTTTTATCCATAATTTCTAGTACATAGGTTAGTGTCATGTAAATTAATAAAAAAAGTTGTGTTATTTATTATAAAAAAGTGGAAGAAAAAATAATAATGAGGGTGAATCACAAATATAATGACATGAGAAAAAATAAAAATAAACAAATTGAAATAATTTATAAACTATAGTTATGAACATAATAATAATAATAATAATAATAATAATAATAATAATAACAAGAATAAGAATAATAATAATAAAGATAATCACATGAAATTACATCATTTTTTGAGTCATTGTTTGGGGAAACTAGAAAGAGTTTGAAGAAAATGGGAATAGTTGGAAAAAATTGGAAGGAGTTAGAAGAAATTGGGAGGAACTGAAAAAATGGTTGGAAATGAAAAAACTGAATGGATAAAATTAAGTGTACTCTGAATTTTTTAAAATTTAATGAAATTTTGGTTGGGTCGGGTTAGGTCAAATTGGGTTGGTCCAAATTGGGTAGGGTTTACATTAGCGACTAGTCGTCGCCTAGGCATCGCTTTACATGATCAGACGAGTAGTCCACCCCAGTTGCTAGGCGACAATCAAGTTGCCACATCGAAAACGATGGGATGACTAGGCGACGAATTAACAACCACGATTCCAAAACCGTAATGTGTTGAAATTGACCGAGTATCTCAGTATCATAATATGATATTCAAACCCCTATTTGAGGCTGATTCTTTTGACATTGGCTACCAATATCATATTATTCCACTGGCGCATTTGGGGTCATACAGTGCTTTGTTCGATCTCGGAGTAGTTCCTACCCCTTATTATGCTCCCACCCTAGTGCCGCACATATCCCTCTACCCCTGTGCCCTAACCCATCCCCTATTCGGGTGACAATCCAATGTAGAAATTTTTACAGGAGATTGGTTAGGAGTGGTGGCGGGTTGAAGGTGAGGGGTTTATTGGGTGGTTACGTGGTAGGAACCACTTCGTTATTGATCGGAGCACCGTGTTGGGTTATTCGGTGAAGGCTTTAGAGCTTTGGGCTTTAAGCCCGGTCGGCTAAAGGGAAGAAATATGGGGGGCCGGTTTTAGTTATTAATTAAAGGGCCCATTAGTTGTTTCTTGTTTAGCAAGTTGTTAACCCTAGTTTATATCTTATAAATACCCAATCATGTAACTATAATCTGTGAGCACCTAATAAAAGATAAACCCTAGTTGCAACCCGTGGAGTAGGTTACTGACCGAACCACGTTAAATCTCGTGTTCTTATTTTCTGCTATTTGTGTGTGTGTGTGTTTGTTCGCTTCCGCTTGACCGTCTCTGATCTCTGATTCCTAACAAGTGGTATCAGAGCCTTGGTNGTCAATTCGATCTTGTCGAGGTTGTCATCAGTAGGCATGAAGTTCGATGATGACACTCAGGCTGTGATTCTGTTATCTTCCTTGCCTGATAGTTGGTCGGGATTTGTGACAACGGTTACTGAAACTGCTGGAACAGGAAACTTGAAGTTTGATCGGATACGGGATAGTGTTTTGGGTGAAGACATTCGCCGGAGGAACGCTAGTGGAGGATCTACTTCTGGGTTACTCAGTGTTAGCAGGGGAAGAGGTAATAACAGAAACAGTGGGAGTCGTGGGAAGAGCTCGTCTAAGGCGGGAAAGAATGTGGTGTGTTGGGTCTGCAAAGAAGTTGGGCATGTCAAGAGTCAATGCCCAAACAAGAAAAACGAAATTAGCGCAGTTGTTGGGAATGCATCTGATGATGATAGTGATGCATTGATACTCAGCATGGAAAGCTATGTTGACTCTTGGGTCATGGATTCTGGTGCTTCGTTTCACGCCATGTACAACGGTGAGGCGATGGTGAATCTCAAAAAGGGAGACTTTGGAAAGGTAAAGTTGGGTAACGGGAAAATCCTTAAAGTGACAGGCATGGGAGATATTGATCTAAAAACTTCATTTGGAACTACTTGGAGCTTACAAAATGTCAGGGTGATTCCAAGACTGAAGACAAAGTTGATCTCAGTCGGACAATTAGATGAACAGGGACTAGACGTCAAGTTTGGTGGTGGAAAATGAAAGGTGATCAAAGGAAATTTGGTTATCGCTCGAGGCTTGAAAAGAGGATCGTTATACATGGTACCGGTGACGTCTGAGGGAGTGACCAACCCGGTAAAGACAGTTAACAAAGTCGGGCTCACTGAATCGGGCAAAGCTAAGAAGGTTCATTTTGCAAACGTGAATCTTGGAGTTTTGGGGATGACAGTTGCGTGTGTTCGGAGGTCTGAATCAGGTCAGGGGTTTCGTGATAGTGGGAGCATGGGACGTGTTTCAAGTACAGTTCTGTAACGTCGTTGGGTTTTGAGGACCAAGAATCCGAACGTTAAAATCTCTCCTGGGAATAGTTTGCTGGATTTGGAGAGTGGTAATGGTCCTCGGTGTATCTCTGGATCCGGTGGATTGTGCAAGCCGGTTGAGACAGAGGCTGTGGCGGATACAGTCACGACTGGGTTGGAGCTCGGTGGAGCTTCAACTGTCCTTTCAGGTTATTAATGAAGGGGGTGGTTGCAACTAGGGGATATAACTGGAGTCTTAGCTTGTTCTTGGGAACTGGAGGCTTGGAGGACTTGACAATGAAGATTACTGACTTACTCATGATGGGTTTACTTGGATGGCATTTGTGTCTATGCGAAATCCT